CCGATGAAATAAAAATTTTAAATAAAAGATTTTTTGTCTTTATTCAACAGAAGCACTCAAATGCATTGACACATGTATCTGTACAATTGTCAAAAATGACACTTAGCTCTTAAGAATATTTTAAGAAATCATCTTTGGTCTTGTCTTCAATTCGGTATTTAGATACACTGTATATATGTACAGTGTGTTTATCGACGGCATTTTCAATTAACAATATTCATTCTCATTCATCAGTTGATTTGATATATCCCACTGACCTCACAATAAAAGACACCAGCCCTAACAAAAAATGCTATAGTAAACTATAGTTAACTATAGTTTACTATAGTTAACTAAAGTAAATCAAAGTTCCAAAGTTTTCACTATAGTAAATCAAAGTTCCAAAGTTTTTACTATAGTTAATTAAAGTTTCAAAGTTTTCCCTATACCTAATCAAAGTTTCAAAGTTTTTTTTCATTAGTTTAACAACTTATGTATTTTTATTAATTTTTTTGATTATTTAGCCGTTTTAAGGGAGGGGTGGATATGGGGTTGGTTGGGGCTGGTTTTTGTTGTACATCTTTATTTAAATATACAAAGTAGTTAATTCAAATGTTATATTTACATTTATAAATTAAAAAAAAAAAACATGTTGACTGAAGTTGATGAAGCAGATATTTTGATTCTAAATGACACATTTTTTTTTTATAATATATTATTTTTCTCCATAAATAATACTTACGGTACATCTGCATAACATTTAAATTAAACACAATGAAATAAATATTGCTTATTTATCGGCGCAGGCGACAACCTTTACATTAAAATTCATATCTTGTACATTATTCTTTTAGGGAAGGGCTCGGGTTTTTAAAATGTTCTCTGAAGCTTTTATGAATCTTTAACTTGAAATATCATAAAATGTAAAGAATGGGAATCAAAAACATAATTCCACGGGATTTATCGTACTTAATCAAAGTTTCAAAGTTTTTACTATAGTAAATCAAAGTTCCAAAGTTTTCACTATAGTAAATCAAAGTTCCAAAGTTTTCATTATAGTAAATCAAAGTTCCAAAGTGTTCACTATAGTAAATCAAAGTTCCAAAGTTTTTACTATAGTAAATCAAAGTTCCAAATTTTTCACTATAGTAAATCAAAGATTCAAAGTTTTCACTATAGTAAATCAAAGTTTTAAAGTTTTTACTTTGGTACTATAGTTAACTATAGTAAACTATAGTTTACTAGAGTTTACTATAGTTTACTATAGTATTTTTTTGTTAGGGAGAGTCTAGTTTTGTTTTATATATGAATGCTTTACTATGAAAAATATTGATGGCAAACTAATGATACAAACTTTATGATACACAATATGACTTCAACTTTTCTTTTGTCAATGTCCCTTATTTAGGTGGCAAAATACAATTATGACTTGCATAGCGTGTCATTCGATACTCAAGAGCATGTTCTATGAAAATACAAGTTCTTAATCGAGGCAGCTACTGACGAAATAGTTGATGGTACATATATGTACTAGAGTATCGACAATTTCTAAAGTCAACATTTCGCAAATTCTATAATCAATACCATGATTATATGCAAATGTATACAATTTGCCGCTATCTCAAAATGCCGACTGATGTTTTCATATAAGCCATCATTTTCCTATTGAATTGTCTACGGATTACTTCGTTTAAGCGATCATAACATATGGCTCACGGTGGCTGGGAGCGGTCGACATGGTATGCTTACTCCTCTGTGGCACCTGATTCAACCTCTAATGTATTCAGGGATCCGTCCTATGCTTCATGCCATTAAAAATATCTTCCTATTTTAAAAAATTCCATTATTTGAAAGCAATCATTTTAAACGAAGTTGTCCTCCAAGAGAAGATAATCTACAATAAACCTTGAACCACAACGCTGAGTCACTTTTTTGCCACTGCTTTTCGTATTTTTTTCCTCTATTTTTTTCCTCTATAAAGAGGTTAAGTATTTTCCTTATGAAGTGCCCCTATCAAAGCCCATAGGGCAAATATTGAGCAATAATCTCTAACATATTTCGATGTTGTTCAATTTTTGGTACAAAGATTGTTAGTTTCCTTAAATCAGTCTAGAAGAAGAGATATAACATTTTTAAGCATACGTAAACAGCAGAGAAGAATTATGAGTAATATTATAGAGTTGCATAGGCTGGATAGATTGAATAAATGTCCTACAACTTGTGCTTGAATAGCTTCTGTATTTGTTACCCTCGTGCTTTTCATTATCATTAATTTGGAATTCCAAAATGTTGGCGATGCTTTACTTTTGTAAAAATCCAGTTAGATTTAAAAAGACAATCTTTTAAACAAAGTAAAATCCCCGTGACAGGAACAAGGTGAAGTTCATTAGAATATATGTCTATATAACACTAGGGAGTGTGAGTGCACTTGTCTTCCAGTTCTGTTTAGATGTCGACAAGACTCCATTCTGATATGTTCTAAGAGTTCATAATGTTTATAAATACGTGTACACTGTAAGTGCATGATTCCGTAAACATTAATCTTTTTTCTTCCTTGTATAATTACTTACATTAAGGAGTCGCCTTGATTAGGATAAATGGTGATACATATTGTCTAAATATGTGTTAATCATGATTAAAATGCTACTACTCACGTGAGAGTTAACAATATCACTTACCTGATTTTGATCACGCGAACACAATTGTCAGTTAAAGGTAAAACGTTGAGTCTGAATCAACTTGTATATGTGCTGCAACAAGCGTAAGAACTCTCAGCCATTAATCCATTCCCACGTATTAATTGACGGTATCATGCGAGGATTCAGCAACAAAGGACAAGTAGATATTAATTCATCATTTAGCATGTTGACATTTTGACTAAGAACAAACAATATTTTTCTTCCAGTCCTAGAAGGAATAAGGTTAATTTTATTAAGGACTAATTCCTTCCATTTAGCATCTCTCTCTCTCTCTCTCTCTCTCTCTCTCTCTCAAAGGAACGAGGTTATGGTCTAAGGCTAAAACCCATTCTGAACTATTCGCCTCACATTGTAGATATGTGGATCTATTAAGTTGTATGTGATAGGGGAATGTCCAGGATGGGATATTAGCAGTGCATTATCAAAATATGGATCGTATATGACGCCCGAAATTTTCACGATTTTTTTTTTATCAAACTTCACGTACGTGAAATAATTACGTCATCAGATCTGTAGTTACATGGTAATCATTGATCAATTCTATTCTAAGTAAAGGATAGGCTTGTGGGAAGTCTCAGGACTGAGATTAGAGGAGCAGCGAGAAAAGGGAATACTTATAGTAATCAATATTTATTTATTTATCATTTTTGTTTATTTTGGGGTCGCTTTTCTTTCTTTGTGTAAGAAATTAAAAATGATCTGGAACACATTGAGGTTAGTTGACTGTGTATGTCAATGTATGTAATAAATTATTGAATATCTTGTTGATTAAAAAGGAACCACTACTTACATGTAAAAAACAATTTTCGAATTTATCATGATAAGGTACGTATTCTCATTTCTCTTACTGTTTCTATTACACTTCTACGAGAAAGAATATAGTAAACATAAAATGACAAACAAAATTTCTCTAATTACATATGTTTCTTTATTTCATAACTTGTAAACATATTTACATGTGAGGTTTACAATCATAGAAAAAAAATTTAATGTACTAAAATTCTCTTTCCACAATGAGACACAATTAAGGCTTATTTTCAATATAAATAGTTATTAGAATAAAACTAATTTTACACAATATGAAGACAATTACATATTAATTTTGCAAATTGTTTGCATGCACTTCATAAACTACAATGACAATAAATGTACAAACATAGATAAATGAGAGGAAGTAGGAATATATAAGAACAAGCAAGGAATAAGAGGGAGTACATGCATATATTATAAATACATGTAGTACTGTATTTCATATATTAATATAAATCGGTTATTTCTACATTTGATTCTTTTTATAATAAACAGATATTTGCATTTTTTTTTTAAAATTCCAATATACAGCCTGTTGCTGAAAAGAGATGCGTGAAATAAACTTGGGCCTGTTTTTGATATCATTTGATGTATATAGATCTTAATCTAGCTTCTTTTATTTCTTTTTGTGTGCATTCAACAACACAATGAAACTTGTCACAAATCTTAAAAAAGGTCACACAATGCTTAAAATCAATTTCTCTGGAGTACCATTCCATCTCCCAGTTTCAAAAGGGTGTTTAAAATTGTTAGATCTTAATCTACATTGCAAAGTTGACAAAATTTTCGAGGCAAAATAACAAAATCCTAGCTGGCTTCTGTATAAATTCTTCAAAATTGATAATTTGGGCCTATCTTAATTGTGTATGGCCCCAGCCAAAGTACATTTTACTGAAATAAAGTCAAATAAACATTGGCCCATTGTGGCCTCAACTTTCCTCCAGGGGTCATGATTTGAACAAAATTGATAAAGAGTCAGACAGAAAGAATTGATAAATTTGTTCATAAATTTTTCAATAAATCTTTAGAAATCTTCAGTGATTTCGGTTCATGTGACCTAAATCAAAATCGATGTTTAAATAATTATTTGATTTTTAATAAATATTAATTAATATTTAATTTACCCTAATATGTATATTAATATTTAAATTTACCCTAATATGTATACAATGTCTTTTAAAAGAAATATCAACTTAAAATGTTCCTACATTAATTGATTTTCCCGCTGTCTTTGTTGATGTTCTTGTATTGATTTACCATTAGCATTTAAAATAAATACACCCCCTCTTATTTTTTTTTCTCTCTCTATCGGGGGAGTGACTCATAAAAAATAAATATCAACAAAAACAACATACCTCTAAATTGTTTATGTACATTCTATCAATGTGTGAAAAACTTCGGATCATGCGTCATCGTGATCAAGGCCAAAATCCAGCTTGCACAAGAACAATCTCGATTGAGAAAACAACAATTTGACGTCACAGCGACAGTTCTAAAAATAGCGTACTTGTTATGATTAACCAGTCAATGCCTTCGGTTCAAAGATAGTGTCGAGTGCAAACAAAGATGAAAAAATAATGTCAGTGAGATATTGAGTCACTTTGTTTTTGGTGCTCTAGTGAAAAAGATCTGAATGAGCGAGGAAGACTTAAATCATATTCAACCCACGGAGGACTTAGTAAGTAACGTTCAATTTGTAATCGGGGATAACCTTCCTTTCATTGCCACTGCGCAGTAGCACAGCTGATTTTTGTTTACAAACATTCAAAGTTATTGTGGAACCAATACGTTTTGAGTTGGACGTTTTTAACAGGGAAATCGGTTGTTTGTTTCATTTAGTGGATATATGTTGTAATTTTTAAAACTTGTGGTCACGGAATTTGTTAGAAAATTCATTCTGAGGCTTAAGGTAGGATCAAAATATGCCTTGCATCATAGTTTGACAGAGATTGCGCAAGAGTTTGATATGTAGTATCATAGCTCAATAAATTCTTGCATTTTCGGTGTTTTTCCGTATAAAAAAAAATCGACAGTTTATGTGAATGTTTATTGACAATTTTTTTTTAATTTATGTCCACATATCAATTATGTCTTATGAGAATAAAAAAAAAAGACAGAGGAGGGGTGGGTGGGTACATACTTTCATGTACCCAAAAGTCGAATGTGTCTTGGCGCTATAAACAGAAGAAAAAAATCGCAGGAATGATTTTTTTTTTTTTTTTGTTGTAACATTGGCATATGACCCCTGAATAGTACAGAGATGTGATGTTTTCGAATTATATAGGGCAAAGTTCTAGAATATTCTCTGACATCTATGTTGAACACGTGTTGTTTTTTTTAATGATCACGTGAATTGAAATGTAATAATTAGATACAATCACGTGTCATTGCTTTAAGGTACCTAATTAATGTTTTTAAAATATATGGCAGTAAACAAGAGTTGACTTTCGTTATTTGTGTTTACCTGCCGAAAGGGTCGGACCTTCTGTAGACTGTGTTATAGTGCATACTAAAGACAGGAATAGAATTAAAACTGATTTATCTTTATAAGGAATTGATTTCATTGTTAAATGGTAATTTTATTTAGATTATTCTTTTTTTTTTTTTTTTAAAAAAAAAAAAAAGTTTCGATGCCGAATAAAAACAAAAGTCTTCGTAGAATAAAGAATGTTGTATAACCTAAATAATTTAACAGATTTTATATCAAAACTTATTTATATCTGGAAAAAAAGTGTGTGCTACAATATTTTTTTCATTCAACTAGGACATGAAAAAGATGTCAACAGACAGGCCTCAGAGGCGGAACGGGAGGGGGAGACCTGGAAGGCGTGGAAATAAAGTGGATGTGAAAGTGAAACTAGAAAGAAGTCGTCAGAGTGCACGTGAGTGTCGTGCACGGAAGAAGCTGAGATACCAGTATCTTGAGGACTTGGTCAGCAACAGAGAACAAGCCATCTTTAAACTCCGAGAAGAGCTGGAATTGGTAAGTACTGTTGACTTGTTAGGTAGTGTTTTAGTGCATACAGTAAGATGTAACAGATTTACACGTATATATAGTACTAAGTAGTCAAGTGGACATGGGTACAAGGATGTTTAAAACATGGTGTTTGATTATTTATATTATTGATGACTATAATTGCTGTATAGATGTATTTATAAATAATGTATGATGAGGCACCTCTCCTCATGACTACCCACTGCACGGTTCTGACATGCTGCATGCCCTTTATTTTAGACCACTGGTTAGATAGATTGAACTTGCTCTAAGATATAATTATATACAATATGAATTCTAAGATATACAATTAGACTTTGTCTATATACAATTAGACTTTGTCTTCATCCGGATTCTATATTTTAGCTGCCCAGAATATACTTCAAACAAAAATGACTTAGTCAACAGTGCATAGGCTTTTCAATGATGTAAAAATTACTAATATGAGTGAGAAGATATATTTGTCTTGCTGTTCATTCTGCATTGGCGGATCCAGTAGCTTAGGATGGTGTGACACGGGGTATGCTTTATGTCTTTAACAGATATGTGCAGATCTACCCCGCCCATTTTCCATGCTAGTTTCCGCGGTTGTTTCCTTGTTTACTGCATGGTCCCTTTGAAAAGTACATGAACTATAATAGTCCTGGATCCGCCCTGCACTGTACTTTGTTATCGAATATCAACTACCTTGGAATTACTCAACCATGACGCCATTGTCAATGAGATGACCTTGTTGAACATTTTAGCACTAGCAGTCTGGGTGCCCGTGTACTCTGTACAAACAAACACTTTTCGGAATGTTCTAGAAAATGAAAGGTTATTGGCCGTCCGAACAGTCGAACTGATACTTAGACCATTCAGTTTGAACTCAAACATTGTCCCTTCTTGATGAGCATAATTTATCATTGTTAAACGATATTGTTTTATTCGTGTCAATGAAAGGTAAACAACCTCTCCTTATAATATATACAGCTGTTTACATTGCAGACGACCCACTAAACATACGGCACTAGTATTGATCTGTGCAGTTCTTAATATTACATTGTATCTCGAATTGTCTTCCCGTTGTATCTGTATGCCTATAGTCACGTATAAATTTTTTTTCTGTCAATTTTAAGAAATTTAAATTGGTATGTCATTATGTTTTGTTCATTTCAGTGATGTCAGAGGTTTTTAAGCTAACAAAATGATTTCAGGGAGGAAAAATTGAAACAAGGCAAATTGACAGCAGATAAAAAAAAAATACAGATCTTGAATCATTAGCTCAGTTTTATTTTTAATAAACAAAATCAAAATGGTAAAAGTTAATTAAATAATGAAGTTAGTCCTGTGGTTAAATTTGTGAAGGGAGGCAATGAAAAGTTACAAGTCTGTAGAGCTGCAGGAGTTGTCGATCTTGTGCAGCGTGTAACAAGAGCATGAGGTTACCTATAGACTGAAATTTACTCATTTTAGCCGTATGTTATAATCTCCATATTACAATTTAACCCAAGACGTTTAGTGCTAAGATGTGAAGCATAACAAAGGCTATATCTCTTTATTATTTACTGTCTTTAGTACAAACAGTACTGCATTGATCTTGACCAAGGAAAACTTCCAGAGCAATTATTGAAAGAACTAGCAAATGCGATGACAAAAGTGGAAATCTCTAGCGCCTCCTTTATTCCCATGCCCACGCCTGATGTCATCGCAAACACCACAAGTAGCCAACAAGGACTGCAAGACATGTACCACCATCAAGACCCAGATGTAGTAGGATGTTTCAGCGAAGTACCAACCACTGGAAACTCCTCAATAGACCAGTATCCATTATATAACCATGCAGTGGGGGATTGTAATGTAACCTACTCAAACTTCATAAATCCAGTGTTGCAAACTCAGCATTACCCTCTTCAAGCGCACATGGAAAAAGGGATATTTTTGGACAGACAGCTGGCAATGAGCAACCAGCAACCTCATCCTGTTCAAAATGAATATGAGAACCACATACCTAACACGACCACCGCATCACTCGATACCATTTCACCAGCTTTCACCTGCGCCATAACATTAGAAAATCAAGTTACTTGTGGAAATCCGGTGGCTCCAGCAATGTCACAGAGCTTGATGAGCAAATCTGGGGGAAATATGTCATATTTGTCCCTTCTGCGGGACTCCAGTGCACCCCTTGACATAGGAGACGAGGCTTTCATGGACCCCGGATTTTCGAAACCTCATATACAAACAACAGGAAGTGGAGGTATGGTGAGGATTCCTTCGGATTCCATAGTACCCAGCACCCCAGTGCTTCCTACCATTTTGGAAGAAATGAATGTCGAAGGATTGTGAAACTGAACAATATACTAGCGACGATGTACCTCTTAGTGTTTACTAATCTGACTAACATTGATATTGAATATGTGGATCATCCAGACCGATTCAGTTCAATATGAAATGGAAATTTTGTGTTTACTATTAGAATCTAAATTCTAAAAGGAAACAATTTGAATGGAAATCCATTGTTAACGTGGCGAAAACTACCCTGTGAGGGAAATTTAGAACCGTTTTCGTTCTGCACTCCATTTTTTAATCATATAGCTGCGTGACTAATTTATATACTGAGGATAAAATGAATGACATCCATTTAAGTGATACTATAGGGCCAGATGTTGATAATGTTTATAGATTAAAATTGCCATTGTCTGAGGTTGGGAGTGGTATAACTTAGAGTGTACACATGTTTAATATGTTATATCAAAGTGTAATTTATTTGGATTATGTTTAATATGTATTAATCTTGAAAATAAGTGTTATTATTGGATACAAATATTTATTTAAGCTTTTTGTACCGAGGCTTTATGTTCATGCTATAACCATGGTGCTTTTAAGAAAGATTAGTTTAATGATAGAACATGACTGTCGTTCATATTAGATTTTGTAAAATTTAGATCATTTTAGTGAATATGTATGTGAAAATACCTACCAATATTACTAGTATAGTTCTTTAGTGTCTGTGTGTCCATTGCGTACAATTATTGTAAACATCAAATATATTTTTTATTAACCTGTACAAATTGCAGTATTGTCTAGTCACGTAAGCATATATGTATAGTTTTAATATTGATGAAAATTATGGAGGTGTTTTAATCTTCAGGACAGGCAGCAAACTTATTTTACTTGGCTCTAAAAGCTAAATTGAAAACAATTTAAAATGATAATCTACATGACGTCATAAAGTAAGTCAAATTGACTGAAAAGATGGAATTTGATTCTGAGAAAAAGCATCAAATTTGCCGTTACTTACGCACATAAATTAATCGATATATTTTTTTTATCATTATTAATATCACCGTTTTAACAAATACAAAACGCGTTTGAAAATGTGCATTAGCTCAATGATTTATTTCAGGAAATTATTTGCTTGCAAATTATTTTTTTCTATGTGCAATTTGATATCTTACTCAAATTGCTTTAATCCATGCGGGCATGGCTTCCTATATTAGGATAATAAAACCATTTGAAGTTCTGACTGTACGTTGTGTATGAATTTTAGTGTTATAAAAGACCCAGTGAAAATTGTTATGTTAAATTTGTTATACTGAATTTAATTGTAATAGTTAGGGCAGATTGATATATTTTCATATATTTATTTATTGCTATTCTGTTGCATTTGTTAATAAACCTATGAAATCGAAAATTCTTTCTTTTTTATTTGCATGTTTTAGTGGTGTATTTGATTAAAGTAATAATGGTATTAAAAAAAAGGATGTTTGTCGTCTTGCAGTTTGAGATTGACAGAAACGTTATTTCTTTACAGAAAAAGTTATTGTTTCCTTCGTTTTCTTTCTTTCTTTTTTTAATGACAACATTAACTTTTGCCAGTATGGTTAAAGAAAATTGTTGTTTTATAATGTATACATTTTTTGCAGTATAAGCACCACTGTTCGGATGTTGATGGCGGTGTTATAACAGATGGAATTCGTGAAAAATTATTGACGTGGGAATCTGAGAACAAAAGTGAGAAGAACTTAGAAAATGACGTCAGCAGTGAAAAATCGAACAGTCCTGAGTGCGTCATCAAAGAAGAACTAAGCTCATGGTGCGATGACACTTGCACTCGAACGTAAGCAATGTGTGTTCGTGTTAATCGATTGCCAGGCACCAATTTCACTGACGAAGAATATCAAGTAATTTTAGATATGAAGATTTCTAAGTAAGGTTTTTTAAAAGAAAGAAGCTTTATGATTGTTAAAAGAAAATTATATTTGGCACCTAAAAACTTCATCCACACACACACTTGTCCATTTCAAGTTATGTCTTTACATTGGTTTTTACTGTATAATTATATAGAAATATATGTGTATCATTGCCTTATATGTATGTTGTTTGTTTGTTGAAAACAAAATATGGATTATAAGTGTATGTGCAGTATAAAAGACAACGTGTAAGCTGTACTGTACAGTAAATATTGTGGCATATTTGACGGGGGTACTCGTCTGCCATACATAAGCTGGCAACAAGGATTGTATACTAAAAGGACTTGATTTTACTGAAATGTATGCTAGCACTGAAAAGAAAATAAATGTATACCAAAAATATTTTAGTTCAAAACAAAAGCTATAATTCAAACCCTTAAACAAAAAGCATAATTATTCGAAGCATGTATGCTTTTTAAATGTAAGGCGTACTTGAAGTTCAATTTTATAAAATAAAATTACGAATAAATTTCATGTCCTCAATGGTATATTTAGGCATAGTGATACATATTTGACTTTTGTTACATAAAAATATCACCTTTAATAGTATTCAAGATAGAAATGCTGTATTTCCAATAAATACACCAATAGTTTATATGTTGGTGGTTAAATAAAATTTCTCGTTTTACTTAGTTCCTATGGCAACTTTTATTGTAAATATATTTCTCAAGTAAATCCATTTAACATAATTTTGAAAGATTTGTATCGGGATCCATGCTGACTGTTGTATTTTTTTTTTATTTTATTTTTTTTTTTTTTGAAACATCGTCTGAAATGTTCCATTATGGCATTTTGATGTTTAATCTTTGATAACCATCGGTACGCGATTCTGATGATCTTTGGTAGTGGTAACAATGTACATATGTGTAGTAAATGTCTTCATTTCTGTACTCGTTTCCATTTTTGCTTGAATTTCCGAGAGATCAATCTATATTAACTGTTCAGAAAGCATAAATTACAACAGAGCCAAACGTGCGCGGAAAATGACAAAATGTCTTATATTTGACCCCATTTATAAAAAAAAAAATATACTTTTGGAATATGAGAGACAAATCTTTCCATTGAAACCAATTAGAGTAATATGGAATTTGCTTATAAGGTATGAAAGCCAATTTTTTTAAAGATCATGGGAAATAGTACATATGAATTCAAGGGGGGGGGGGGGTCTATGTAAAATTGGAATTTTGCTTTTGAATTTTTTTCACAAAGGGCAGACAACTTTACAGGATTTCCTAGGCATAATTTTTCTTTCATATTTCACAGTTCTTCAAATTATTTTGGCCTGATGATTTTAAATTATTTTGTGCCCGGAAATCATTATTTTCTGTTTTTAACGATGAAGTACACGTGATGACGTGCTTTCCGCTACATCAGTAATATTAAAGAAGCTTTCAAAACAAATTATTTGGTATCTTGTTAAATTACTTTACAATATTTTTCTTTTCGTTAATTTGTTACCTTTTCTCCCCGTTTGCTCTTTTATATCTGTTAGTTGCATCCAATTTTTGTGTAAAGATTAATATTTGTCCTCATGCTTTATGAATGTAAGTTTCCTTTAGATTTTGAAGAACACAAGGCAAGGATGTTTTTCTTTTCCGTATCTTATTTTTTATTAATTTAAAATTGTCTCAAACATCGATTCAGTTTGGTTTTGATTTCTTTTTTGGTCACATATATGATAATTTGAATGTGAAATCGTCCCTAAACTGTACATATTATATATATTACAGTATGTATGTACAAAGTGTATATATTAATTGTGTTTTGTTTTAAAAACTGCTTACTGGCTCTTGTTTATATGCCACTGTCCAGTAATTTTTCAATAATTTCAAATAAATGTAACAATTTAAACGTGTATATATTTAAGTAACATTTTTTGTTTATATAAATATTATATCAATTGTTGTAGAAGTTGTTTTAAATGAGTACAATCTCTTTGATTGATAAGTATTGTACGACTATATCATTCTTATTTCTTTGTGATATTAATGTTAACAGTTCAGTGGATTTTTTTTGTTGCAAAAAACAATCCAAACTTTGATAGTCGTAGAACTACGTTTTGAAAGCACATAGATTATTTACAAACATTTTCTGTTTTGATATTATGTATCGTACAGCTTCAGTTATCTTTGTACACAGTTGATAACATTTCTATATTGCGTCCCAAGTGGTTTGGAGATACTGTATATAGATAATGTACATTGTGTACATTTTCTACAAAGAAATGAAACTGTGATGATTCACATATAGTAAACATGCCATAAGTATATTTTCTTGTACCATACCATTCTTTCCTAATTATATTTCAAGTTTTTTAGCAGTATTAGATTGCCGTGAACATGAGCAATATTTGTTGAACATTTTCTGAATACACTTTTCATTACTTTCATTTATTGTAGAACATGAGAGAATGAAATCCATGTTGATTATTATATTTTGTTATGTTGTTATGGCAAATGAAAACAACACTTTGAAATAAAATAAAAAGAAGAAGAAAAATGCATATTTTTTTTATCCTAGAAAAAAGATAAATTTGTTAGCTAAGATCTCTGTCATGAAACAGGAATTATTATACCTTTGCTGGAGTTAAGAAGTTTCCATTTGATTGTTGAATAGGACAATGGTAAAGCGATACCTTATCTCTGCTGGTGTCAATGTGTACACAGTTTTATCAGAGTCAGATGGTAAGTCTTTATTTCTATTCAAAACAATTAATGATGTTTCTTATTAGTATTTCATGCATGTGATCAAAATTGACATTGTGTAAAGAAATGATTGATCGCAATTTTAATTTTCTCTTGATTGAAATTGTAAAGGTAAAATACATTTATAGCTTTACCAAATTTTCTACTTCCTGCCATTTTAGAAAAAAAGTTTCTTACATGTATTCTCAACATTCTGCCATTTATCCGGGTGTTTAATGGTCACTTCATGAAATAATACTGAGAGAAATAAAAATATGAAAATAATCTGAGAAAATGCGTATACGGAACTAGACAGTGGTGTCGTTAATAAGTAATAAATCCAACATAGCCTGTCTCAGTTTCTGGTGAACTTTTCTTTACTGCATACATGTACCTCTCCTCCAGAAAGGTCACGTGATAAATCAACTGAGTTTGAACATTTCCTTATGATCTTCCAAAAAAAAAATCTAAAGCATATCAAAAAGTCAAAATAATTATAATATTCACTTACGGCTACATCAGTGTTGCTATAATTTTATAAAATACAAAATTGATGTTGTGGTTCTGATTAGCTAAATATTATTTATACTAATGCTTACAATGTACATCATAGCATATCATTAATAGATGCAATGTTACATATGCAAAGGCATGTGCCTTACGAGAATTTGATTCTTCAGAGAATTAATGAAATTTGATTTTTTTTCTTTAGAATAGAACATAACTGCCGAGACATTCTCAGACATGACTTTGTTGAGATAAAGTGACTACTAGTGTTTGAGATAGAGTGACTACTAGTGTTTGAGATAGAGCGACTACGAGTGTTTGAGATAAAGTGACTACTAGTATGTAAGATAAAGTGCCTACTAGTTTTTAAGATAAAGTGACTACTAGTGTTTGGGATAAAGTGACTAATAGTATTTAAGATAAAGTGGCAACTAATGTTTGAGATAAAGTGACTACTAGTATTTAAGATAAAGTGACTACTAGTGTTTGAGATAAAGTGACTACTGGTATTTAAGATAAAGTGACTACTAGTATTTAAGATAAAGTGACGACTAGTATTTAAGATAAAATGACTACTATAGTGTTTGGGATAAAGTGACTACTAGTATTTAAGATAAAGTGATTACTGTTTTGGGATAAACTGACTACTAGTATTTAAGATAAAGTGACTACTAGTGTTTGGGATAAAGTGACTAGTATTGAAGATAAAGTGACTACTAGTACATGTATTTCAGAACAAGGACATTTGCAAGCCAGGGCACCAAATGTGTCGTAAATACTATACATCTTGAGGAGGTGATGCTCATCCATATTTTAATTCCATCGATCCCTAAACATTTTTCCCAAATGGCTGCGGCAATGTGACTCATTTGATAGAATCTTGACTAGTTCAGCAAGTACGAAAACAAAAGGCCAAAACGCTCACCTGAGTCAGCTTTGCCCTTGTTCTTCAGAAGAAGATTTTTATAAGATTTTCTCCTATTTATTCCTCTGAAAATTGTGGCCTCATCCTACCTATGGGGTCAAAGTTTGAATAAATTTGAATATACACTACTTGAAGATGCTTTCTTATTAATATAATTAATCATGTCCTTGCTGCTCTTGAGAAGATTTTTAAAAGATTTTCACTACATATTTCTTATTTTATTGTGGCCCATTTCGCATAACTTTTTTTTCAGAAAAGCTCATAAGCCTTTGGCTTAAGTGAGGTAAACAGAAAGAAGTCCTTTAGATATGCTTTTTTTTTAATC